ACAAAAGAGACAATCACAAATAGATTCTGAAGCTAAAGGGAAAAAAAAGAAAATAAACCAAAAAAGCAGAAACACACAACATAAAGACACAATAAACCAAAAGATTTAATCTTTGCTCGTCAAATAATACCTTAAAAAATATCCGGAAGCAAAAATAAAGTGGGGAAAACATTCTCGTAATAAATGGGGCTGGCAAGAATTTAGGTCATCATGAAGATATAAGCAGTAAATAGATAAGCGATAAGCACAAAAGAATAGTGTAAACTGATGTACTATTTTTTTTAAAAAATTCAGAACTTGAAGACACGAAACTAGGAGAAGATTGGTATAATTTTACATTATCTCTGTGGCCAAAGTTTTCAGGTGATAACAATGTGGGAGGTGTGTAGATTTTCTACATGCATGGCAGAAGAATAAATGGGTCAGTTCTGAAGGCAATTTAAGAACCTGTTTAAAATAGCAATAAAAAGTACTCATATGCATTGCCCTAAACAAATGTGCATCCTAGATTCTTTGAAGGAGAGCAAAGTGCGTGAAGTCGACTTTAAATTTGCTCTGTGATTCATCATTTACAATGTCAGGGAACAAAAAGTAACATTTTCAAATTAGGATTAGTCAATAAATGAAAATATGTAAATTACGTATGAGTGACATAATAGAATATAATTGTCACGAAAAGTCGTAGGATGAAACAGCTAAATGACATGAAAAAACATCCGTGAACTATTACTAAGCAAAAATAATGTGCTAGAACATTATGAACAGACCTGCATTTTTATTGAAATGAATGTACTTCATTTAAGTTGATGGATAAATAAGCAAATAAAAAAATGTCAACATGACATGGATAATACTTGTTTAAAAATAAACAACTACGTAAACCAAAAACCCACTAAAAATCTAAAGTTTGAATGCCATCCCGTTCAAATACCCGGACTCATACGACCTTGAAATCTACATTTTGAAACGTATTTGAATAGGTGCGTCTGAGGCAAAGTCGGTTACATATAGCAACGGGACGTGGTCGAAAGGGACATTGTCTCTGACAGGGGGAAGGTACCTTCATCTCTGCCAGTATTCACCACGCGCGACTGCCTTTTGTGTTTCTTGGGGTCCTCTAGTCTATCAAAGCTTCACGGGTTATTTACGATCTCTTAGCTCTCTTCTGAAGTTCCTCAATGTTTGCCCTTTCGATTTTGAAACAGATGGACGTTCAGTGCATTCGTTCTGGGTGCATAAATTTGGTTTCTGGCCAGTATGATTTAGGCGCAATCTGAAACGTCAAAAACGGATGGTTTTCAGAGGTCTCGTAAGCCTGGCAAGTCTACTTGTTGTGTTGTTGATGACAGGTGACGTGTGTTCCTCTGTCTCTGACCTGTGCTGGTGTAATGTAGCCTCACTCGTAGTTGGTCACTGACGTACATCCTTGCTGTACGCGCTCCAACCCAATCGCGCCGGTTGCTCTCAGTAGGAGAGGTTTCCAAATTTAAATAGGGCTCAATGCCATCTCCGATTGTGCGTCGCGCTCCTGAGGTAGGTTGGGTTAGATTATAGGGGTGAACGTGAGCTTTAGGCTAATCTGGCCATCGCTGGCAGACACGCTTGAGTCAAGCAAAATGCTTCAGATAATTTTGTCTTCGCTTGAAAACTGGAGTCCATACTGGTTCTTTTGAACTCCAGAGCTCTTAGGATGGTCGACTTAGAGACTGCGTTCATTTATCTTTCCCTCGGTTATTGTGTGTTGGGTCTGCCTCACTGCGGAGGCTGAGTCCTGTTCTCTTCACTCTCTCTGTGCCTATGTATATCATGATGTGTCCGAACTCTGATTGGCCCGTGTGGCGATCTCCCGATTGGCGGCAGACCTCTCGCCCGATGTTCTCAGCTGAGGGATGACTTGTAAAAGGAAGCGAGCGCTGCCAGCTATGAACCGAGAGGGCGGAAGGCCTCAAAGACAACATTCTTGTGAAACCGTTTATGGCCTATCCTTTTGGACTATCTTCAAAGCGGCTTATCGGAAGTACCTGGCACAGGCGTGAGCACGGGTGGAGGAGCACCATGCTAACCGAAATCATCTCTCGGCTGACGTAGGACATCAAAAAGACATAACGAGCTGTTTGCTAACCGGAAGAGAGGGAAGACTGTCTGTGGGAAGGGGTGTCCGTTCAGGTTTTAGGTGTTTTGAACTCGCTGTCGAGGCTATATTTTGGAGAGAGGTTGCGAGCATCCACTTGACCGTTGGACCGGGGTCTTGTGTTGTAGGTTGTTGTAATGGGAAGTCTGGCTGCGCTGTTATGTGTTGGGATGAAGGAATTTGTCTGGTGCCGACCTGATTGATTCAGACTCGTAGCATTTGGTAGTGCGGGTCATCTTTTCTTTGAGAGAGGATGGGTGGTCTAGTGGACCCCTG